GCTTCTGACTCCCGTGTCCACATCATTAATGAAGATGTTGAACACAGTATGGGTCCAAGGACAGCCTTGGGGGACCCCACTGGTCACAGGACACCACGATGAATGACTTCCATTGATTACTACCCTCTGGGTCCGACCCCGGAGCCAATTTTCCAGCCAGCGGATCGTGGAGGACCCAAGGCGACAATTGGCCAGTTTCTCCAAGAGGCGATCATGGGACACCAGATCGAAGGCTTTTTTGAAGTCAAGATATATGACATCAATCTCTTCTCCCTTGTCCAGGTGATAGGTCACCTGGTCGTAGAAGGAAATGAGATTGGTCAAGCAAGACCTACCCGCAACAAACCCATGCTGGCTATCCCTTAAGATGTTGGCGTCGGCCAGTCCATTAAGGATGGCCTCTTTAATAAACTTTTCTAAGATCTTCCCCGGGATAGAAGTCAGGCTGATGGGCCTATAGTTAGCCGGATCCACTTTCCTCCCTTTCTTGAAGATAGGCACCACATTGGCCTTCTTCCAGTCTTCGGGCACTACACCAGAGTGCCAAGAGTTTTCAAAGATCCGTGCTAGAGGCTGGGCTATGATGCTCGCCAGCTCCTTGAGTACCCTGGGGTGAAGATTGTCAGGGCCAGCTGACTTGAAGGTATCCAGCTTCTCAAGATGTTCCTTCAGAAAGTCAGCATTAATGGAGGGCAGGGGATCACCCTCACCCGGACTTCCCGGCCTGTAGCGGGCATGGGCGTGTTGTTACAGTGTAATGGGCCATTACTTTTTGAACATTGGGCTATGAACATTTATAACAACTTTGCCGATGTCTATGTAACTGGGTCTGACTGAAAAATACTCCTGTGAAAGACTGAGGTTTCTTAGCATCTTTATTTTATGCATCATAACAAAGGAGGTGCTTTTAAATGTCACAGGAAAAAATAACACACCATTTCCCCTCCCAGAAAAGATTGTTAAGGCAAGGCTGCTAGGGCACTCACTTGGAGACACAGGTGCAAGTCCCTTCCCTGACTCAGAAAAGGGAGGGAATTTAACTATCATCTATCTGATACATGCCAGACAAGTGCTGTAATCACTGCCAGATAGAGCCAGTCCCTCTGGCACAATGAATAGGTTATAAGGTGGACTGGCTCCAACAGAAGAAGTTGAGGGAGACTCTTAGTCAAAGGAGGAACTAGAGAAGCTTAGTCTGCTACATCTCTGTCAGGTGTCCTAACAACTGGGCTATTGATTCTTCTGGGGTGGGTTATTTCTCACCACACAAATTCTGTTCTCACCATGAGGAACATTTCCAGCAATATTTGTCATAAACAAAATGGTCCTGCAAAACATCTAAACTGCAAACTTTGATTGGAAAAAATGCCAAAAATTAACCAGCTCAGTTCCTAACCATCTGTCTCATATACTAAACATCTTTGTAACATCATTATATCAATTAAAGAAAAAAACAGTATAAGCATAGACAAAATATTATAGATGTAATCATCCGGCCATAGTGATTCAATAGAGACCATCAGACTTAAAACTCATTAGCTTCCTCCTAGAACAAAGTATTTATGAGCTGTAGCCCAGTGAATTTTTGATATTCAAAGTGATGGAACCCAATTTTTATCTTTAGGAGCACAAGAATGAGGCCAATGACATATGTTAAAATAATGGTACAATTGTACCCTGAGGAATTTTATGCCCCACCCCAACATTGCACATCTTGCTGTACCAGATATGCATGGTAGGACATGCAATTTTTGGGATGAGGCATAAAGTTTCTTATATCCAAATCAAACCAGTGCCGGGCTACCTCCAGCCTGATCCTGCAGACAGTCTCAGGTCCACTTGCACATAGAGGACAGTCCAGGGCTAGTGCCAATAATCAGATGATTGTGTCAAGCTGTAGCCTTGAACTAACCTGTATCTGCCACCTCCCCAACAGAACACTGGGGCAGGCACAGGTGACCAGAATCCTCTGCCTGGGCCTATGCACATACCCACTCCCTGCTGCTGGAGTTACCAGCCTCCTATCCCTTCCTCCCTTCCCATATAAAGCCCTGATCCAGTAGGGGAAGTGTCTCGGCAACAAAGCTCAACCTTGTGCTTAGGCTGCTGCATCCTTGACTTCTGCTGCTACTGACGGATTTCTTGGATTTCTGACCCGGTTAACTTCCAGACCTCAATCTTTGCCTGACCCTCTGGCTGTTATATATAGAATAACTTTATGGCTAGTTTGCCATTTTATAGTGCCATAATTTGGCCAAATGTGGCATGTTGTAATTTATGGCCCAACTAGCAAGTTAATTTTGCCATAAATATAATGTCTCCCTGATTTTAGTATTCTAAACAAAGACTGCAGGTAAACCAAAACTATCTGAGTCTAAGTTAGGGGGGAAAACATCAGGAGAGCTGTTAGGTACTCTGGATGATGCATTTAGCATAGTCAAACATGGCACTAACAACTTGGGCTGCCACAACTTGAGCTATAGACCCAAGTCTCAGGAATTGTAGAGTGGATGTTAAATTCTATATTTCTGCTTGATCGGGCTGTCTCTTCTACTTTGTAGCCCAGTCACAGCTATATTAGTGAGAGAAGAAGGAAGATCTAATACTCTTGGATATCTGTAGAGTTGAGAGAGGTAGTTAGCTGTGTTAGTCTGAAGTCAGGCAGAAGGCAGAGGAGGGTGAAACCTTAGAGACTGAATAGTTCAGAAAGGAATAAGGAAGGCTATTGCCTGAAAAAGCATATGCCCTTTTAGTTAGTCTCTAAGGCAGGGGTCAGTAACCTACAGCCCACAGTCTGGATCTGGCCTGCAAAGCCATTTGATCCAGCCTGCAGATATGGGGCTTCAGCAGCCAAATCAGCTCAGTTCAGGTCAGACACAGGCAGGCATACAATGGGCAGGGGCTAGGACACAGCTGCTGCCACCTCTGCTTTTCCCTGTTGTAGCACAGAGAGAGTGGCTGCTGCAGCTGGCACTTTTCCCTGCAGCAGTGGGGGGCTTCCACAACAGTCACTTTCCCCTGCCAACATGGTGATAGGTGCCATCCATGGACATTCTCCCCATATTACCAGGGGGTGGGGGAAGTAGCGGTACCAGGCACTTTCCCTGTACAGCAGCTAGGAAAAACAGTGATGGCAGCTGGACCCACCTCTGACCCAAACTGGGTCAGTCCGGCTCACAGCCTGAAAAGCTTGCTGACCCCTGCTCTAAGGTGCTGTCCTGTCCTGCCTTCTGCTTGGTGTGTTGCGGTGTAGAAGGTAAATCAAGCTGGACTCCAGAAGATCATGATTTCAGATATTCACCTCTGATTTCTCCTTCTGTTTCTGTGCGCTGAAGTAACAGGACTTGGGTACCTAGCTCTTAGGTGCTTGTGAAAATCTCACTCAGTAGCTTCTATTTTTAGGGACCTCAACAGAGATGCTTTCTGGAAGTGAATGTGAGAAATGACCCGGCTATGAAGTGAAACACTTGAATGCGTGGTGTACTGAAAATAACCAGGAAGCGGGAAAAGATGCAAAATGTTTGTTTTTGTCTTTAACAGCTACCGGTGAATATTCTATGAATGTATACGATAGAAAGGAATGTGGATTTTTAATCTTCTCAGAAAAATGCTGTCTGAAAAGAGGATGTTGTTTTGATCCTTCATACCCAGGCGTTAAACGGTGTTTCCGTCCTAACATCAAAAATGGTAAAAAAAAATTCTCTGGAATGTTTTAAAATGTCTCTGTACAGGATTACACAGAAATCAACTGCTGCAGAGTGTTTCACCCCTAGCCTGCTGTATGCTTTGCAGGAGAGTAGCAAAGTCCTTTTGGACTGAACCTGATAGATCCTTCCTTTATTTATATATCTTTCTCTCTGGCACACAGGGTCCACAACCACAGCTAACCCTTGGTTGGATTTTGTGCACTATCACAAAATAAGAATTAAAATAACATATGTGTATGTCTCAAAATATCCAATACTGTATAAAGAGAATAGGGTATCCTCACAGAGAGCATGATAAACACACACTCCAAAAGATTGCTTAGGGCTTTGGTAAAAGATGTACCAAAGCCTTACCAACAAGTAAGCGTAGTAGAGACAAGGTTACAAACTGATTTTTTTCTCTTTTTTTATGAAAGCTTTTATTGGGAGAAAAAGTTGACACCCTTTTCACCCAGGCATGATGCTGGTTGAAAACTTGAGGTGGAAAGGGAAGCGATACAATTTGTTGTAAAATACAAAAAAAGTTTTATTTTTTCAGTTAGTTTTAGTAAAATGTTTGTCCTCATTAACCTGAAGAAGAGAATGATTATTGCATGGCTACTGCATTTCTGTTGTCTGCAGACACAAACGATAGGTTACCCAGAGAGGTGGTGGAATCTCCATCCTTGGAGGTTTTTAAGACCTGGCTAGACATAGCTTTGACTGAGAGGATCTAGTTGTGACTGGTCTTGCTTTGAGCAGGGGGTTGGACTAGATGGCCTCCTGAGGTCCCTTACAACCCTAGTTTTCTATGATTTCCAGCAATACAGGAAGATAGAGCTAATGCGTGAGCATGCAGCACATACCATGGCTTTGTTATTGACCCCTTAGATTGATGTTCATGGGTGGATCCAGGATTTTGAAAATGGGGGTGCATGTGGTAGGTGCATTATCACATATAAAAAACCCACATATTTTTCTCCAAGTAAAAAGAACCTAAAAGCTTTATTTATATGCTAGGGGTCTAGACTGTATTATTCAGTTTAAAATTGACGCTAAAATAAATCTAACTTTATTGGAATGAGTTAAAAATGGCCTGCAAGGCTGTTAAATAAGAACAGACAGCAGAATTTCAGAAGAAAGGCTAGCTTGAGTAGTGGAACATCAAAACCATTAAGTAGGAGAGAGGGTCATTAACACCTATGGAATAAAGAGTTGCAAAGAAATCAGGTAGATTTTAATGAGCTCTAAAGTCAGTTGACTCCCAAAGCATGGCCTGACTAGAAACACTGCTGCCACTGCCAAGCAGTTGCTTTTAAACTTTGGGTGGAGCAGGAATCAAAGAGGGAGTGCAACTGTGCCAGTGTACCACCCTGGATCCTCCCTGATGACGTTCTTGTTTCCTGGCACGAGTGATCAGTCTCACGTGAAGGGGATGACAGATGTGTTCACATTCCAGTGTGTAAGGGCCTCCCAGCCCTTCTGGAACTTCTACTGTCAGGGCCACTGCCCTGATCTTAGTCACCTCTTTATAATTGAGATGAGGAAAGATGTTTTCTAAATACATGCCCACATAGACCAGTGAGATGCTAGAATCATATAAAATATATAGAAGGGGATAATTGCAGTGAATAATTGCAAGACACACCTCCTCAGTTTGTCCCACTTCTACCCCTTTATATTGCAGAGCTATGCTTCATTTTCCTGTGGATCCAATGCATAGATTTGACGCTTAAATATTGATTTCCCCTTTCTTTCACCCTTAGATTGTTAAAGAAGCATGCCCCGGAGATGGCTGTCAATAGAACCAGAGAAAAAGGAAGATTTTTAAATCTCATGGCGTGTTGCTCTAATACTCTGTCTTCCAGCTCATCCCTGTTTTAGGTGTATTACTTTTTAATAACATAGTTAATCGCTGAGAAAAAAAGAGGTGGGAAGAGGGATTTTTTCAGGGGCAATATTTTTTTAAATCCTTTTCCCTGGGCTATTTGTATTGACATGCTTATCATTTTCAATTCATAAAAATAAAATACGTAACTGTTGCATATGAGTGACCATTTTTAATATTCTTAACAATTCCTGTTCCTTTAAAAAAACTATGGCCTTAACACTCAAATTCTTGTGAGGTACACAATGATCAGTGTTGGCCTCAGAGCACTCACTGTGGTGCTGACAGCTTGTGCCAGGAAGTTAGACTAGAATTTCTACCCTTAATGTACACTGAATTCATGCCAGAGGAGCAGCCACACACATAGTGGAGCTGGGCTATACTCTGCTTCTTCCATTGGGGTTGCCTCAAGTTGAGCACCCAAAATTTCCATTTACAGCAGCCCTTAGGGGTATCTCCATGAGTCTTTCTAACTTCGCCTTGTCAGGAGTTCCCAGCTACTTGTCTCCCTGGGACATTCTGGCAAATTGCTGTCCCCAGGGCACACGACTGCCAAACTCAGCCCTTAGAGCACTGGTTCTTAAGCTTTCTAGACTCAAGGCACCCCTTATTAGACTTAAGGCAGCCCTCCTCGGAAAATGCCTGCTCTTAGTTTTTACTCGGTTTTTGACTATGGAAATATAATCAAGCCATTTTTCTGTTGAAAAAAAATAGGAAAAAAATAAACAGGTCAGAATTTTTGTATTCTATGGATTCCAATTTGAAATCTCTAGATTTATCTTGTGAATCATGTTGACACACCTAGCACTTAGTGCTAAAACTGCATTGTACCCCACGGCACTAGTGAAAGGATCTCAAGGCACCCAGTACCCCGATTGAGAATCACTGCCCTAGAGAATGCAGGTGCCTTCTGTTTATTCTCATTAAGTGCCTACTAGTTACAGAAGTAGAGAGCTTTCTAATGGGCTGGTCCCAGACCTGAACCTAAAGGGAGCAACCCAAAGCACTATAATGTGGAAGACAGTTTTCACCACCTGATGTGGACTGAAAAGTTTATCCAGTAAAAGTAAGTGCTAGGCTGTATTTCCTTTAAAACCCAAAAAGGTTATGCCATGTTATTCTTACTGAGTATGCAGCTGTACTGGTATAGAGGTGTGTTATGCCACTATGGTTTATTACAGTTCAAGAAGTGGAATACATTGTAATGGCTTAAGTATTTTTACACTGATATAAAAGGAATCGTGCATCACAGAAAGTTGTACTGATTGAGTTATTCCAGTGTGGTTGAATTGATAAACCTTTCTAGCATGAGCAAGGCCTTACCGACCCTCTGAGACTGCTGACAAAAGGAGGCAAGATAGTGCCAGTAGTGGTGCAGTGTGTGCTTTCAGTGCCTGTCCTGTAGGAATTGGCAGCCTGCAGTTTCCTAGGCTAACTCATGGCACTTCACAGAAAGCTGTCCTAGCCTGGATTCAGCCCAGCGCCATAAAGATGAAAAGCCCCATAGACTGAATAGCTGTTTCATCTTTCCCATGTAGAATTGCTTGCTTTATCTGTTTGATTGACTTTTCCTATCCTGTGTGATGCTGCAGGTTAAAGAGAGTAAAGCAAACCAATGTAATGAGTCTTTTCTATATAGAAGAGTATCAGTCAGCAATGCTGAGGGCTGGAAAGATCCACGTTGGGTCCAAGGCAGACTGGTATTCTGACTTGGTCATTGCTGCCACTTCCTCTCCCTGTCCCCTCATGGCTATGGCATGGCCACAGCTCCCTGCCACCTGGCCCCAGTGCAACTCCCTGCTTCCCTGCCCCAGTGCAGGTGAAGCCCAATACCACAGAAATAACCCCCGCCTTTCCCCCCCAAACTCACTGCCAGTGTTTCTCAGGCCAGATCCAGTGCACAAGAGCATAGCAGAAAGAAAACAGACTTGGAAGCCACTATCTTCTTAACTGTCTCTGGTACCCTTAGTAGATTCGTATGCTTGTTACATGGAGTAGCTAATGTTCTTCTTAGGAGGTTTACTATACCTAAAATGTACACAGGCAGACAAGGTTCCTTGGGTGAATTTGATATCTTTTATGTACACACGCATTTGGACTGTTTCAAAAAACACCATGTAGTGCTCCAGACATACTATAGACAGGATACAGGTGGCTAATAAAATGGTTGTAGTCACACAGAGCCTCTATAGGCCTAGAAACTAATAATCTCCTAGAGGCATAGGAGCAGGGGCTCCTATGTGGGGGTGGATGCAGTGGTGCGGTTACACCCCCTTCACCACCCATTTGCTGCTGAGAACCCCAGTTTTGGCCACCCAGACAGATACTCCACTGCCACTGCATCCCCACATTTTCACAGTCCTTGATCCATTACTGCATAGGAATTAAACAGAGGAAGAAACTGAACCTGTTAACATCCCCACCAGAAGAAGAATCAGATAAGTCTAATGACTCATACTTACAAGATGAGTGCTCCAATGGTGCAATTGGTTAGTGTGTGGCACTTATACAGCAGTACTTGAGTGAGCCATGCCAAGGTTGTAAGTTCAAGCCTTGCCTAGAGCAGATTTTTTGTTTTTCCCTTCTATTCTCCCAGTAAGCAGACGTGGACGGCGCCACAAGGCATACATCAGTGAGGTCAACCAGCGGCTTCAGAGCTGGTGTTACCAGGCGGGCCTTGGGTTCTTGGACCATGACCCATATTTCTGCACAGAGGACATGCTTGGATGGGATGGGCTTCATCTCTTCCCCAAAAGGTAAGCAGGTTGTTTCTTCCAGGCTGGCTGATCTCGTACAGCGAGCTTTAAACTAGGTTCGCTGGGGGACGGGGATGCAGAGGAACAAGAGGACACTTCACAGTCAAGCCAGGTGACACACGCAGGTAATACCTAGGTAAGTGACAGGGGCCTGGGCAGGCTTAGGAACAAGGGGGCAGCACGTGCACCCATAGCAGGCCTCAAATGCCTCTACACAAATGCTTGAAGCATGGGGAATAAGCAGGAGGAACTTGCCCTCCTTATAGCTAGCAAAAACCCAGACCTAGTGGGGCTCACAGAAACCTGATGGGATCCTACCCACAACTGGGCAGTGGGATTCAAGGGCTACAGACTGTACAGGTGAGACAGAGCAGGGAAAAAAGGTGGGGGGTGTAGCACTGTGCGTCAAAGAGCAATACATATCTTCGATGATTAGGATGGGGTCAGAGGAGGGACAAAGTGAGATGCTCTGGGTAAGAATGCAAGGGGGTCAGGGGGAAAGGGACTTGATAGTGGGCGTCTACTACAGACCACCTCACCAAGGGGACAAGCTGGACCTGCAATTCTCAGGTCAGCTCACAGAGGCTGTAAAGCCAAGGGACGTGGTTGTCATGGGTGATCTAAACTACCCAGACATCTGCTGGGAGGAGCAGTCAGCCAGGTCCGACCGCTCACATAGGTTCCTAGCTGGGATACAGGACCTCCACCTAACCCAGGAGGTGCATAGTCCCGCCAGAGGAAATGCCTTGCTGGACTTGGTCCTTGCCACAGGTGACGACCTAATGTGGGGACCGCGGGTACTTGACCACCCGGGTGACAGTGATCATCGCCTGCTGGAATTTACTATCCAGCACAAGGCAATGAAAGCTAGCAGTAAGGCAAAAATCCTTGACTTCAGGAGGGCTGACTTCAATGAGCTAAGATTAGTAGCATTCTCTCAAAAAAACTAGGTGACTGCGGCATCAATGCCTACACAGTCAGATGGGTGGCAAATTGGCTAGACAGTCACACCCAGAGAGTGGTGGTGGACAGGTCGTTTTCAACCTGCAGGGATGTGGGCAGTGGGGCTCGGTCCTCGGGCCTGTACTATTCAACATCTTTATCAGCGATCTGGATGTGGGTGTGGAAAGCATGCTGTCCAAATTCACTGACAACACCAAGATGTGGGGCGAGGTAGGCACACTGGAGGCACAGCGGAGGGACAGAATCCAGCTAGATCTAGACAGGTTACAGGGGTGGGCAGATGAGAATAGGTTGGAATTCAATGCAGACAAGTGCAAGGTGCTGCATCTAGGGCAAAGGAACCTGCAACACACCTATAAGCTGGGGAACACCCCTCTCAACAACACAGTTGCCGAAAGGGAACTTGGAGTCATTGTTGACTCCAGGATGGACATGAGCTGCCAATGCGAGGAAGTGGTTAGTAAAGCTAACTGCACCTTGTCGTGCATCAACAGACATGCATCAAGCATCAAGCAGGTCCAGAGAGGTGATCCTTCTCCTCTATGCAGCATTGTTCAGGCCGCAGTTGGAGTACTGTGTCCAGTTCTGGGCTGGAGTACTGCATACAGTTGGAGTACTGCGTCCAGTACTGCGCCCACTTCAAGAGAGATGTATCTAGCACTGAGAAGGTCTAGAGGAGGGCCTCTCACATGGTCAAGAGGCAGCAGGTCAGGCCCTACAAAGAAAGGCTAAAGGGCCTGAACCTATTCAGCCTTCACAAGAGAAAGCTAAGAGGGGATCTGGTGGCTGTTTACAAACTCACCAGAGGAGGCCAGCGGAAACTGGGTGAGATTCTGTTCCCCCGGGCACCACCCAGGGTTACTAGGAATAACAGACACAAATTGTTAGAAAGAAGGTTCAAGCTGGACATCAGGAGGCATTACTTCATGGTTAGGGCTGCCAGGCTCTAGAATGGACTCCCAAGGGATGTGGTGCTCTCTCCTACCTTGGGGATCTTCAAGGGGAGGCTGGATAGATACTTGGGCTAGGGTGTTAGGACCCCCATGATGATCTGTTTAGGTTCCTTCTGACCGTAAGCACTATGATACTATGATGGCGCTCCCTGCATTCTGCTCCCAGCAGCCCCAAGCAGCCCCTTGCAGGCTGGAACGCTGCCAGCCTACTAGGGGAAACCCAGATCACTGCACAATTCTGTGAATCTGGGACAAATGCTGTCCCGAAGTCATGCAGCCCAGGACTTGCTGTTCC